AGAATGTCATTTATCATTGAAAGAATATTTCGTCTCTATCAAAGATATAGGCCCCTGAATAACTGAGCATACAACCACCCTTCTATCCATCCAACCATAGATTCTTGTCCGAGTCCACCAAAAGGACTACCCACATGAACTGCCTACGCGTGGCCACTAGAAAATTGGCAGCGCATGATTAGATGATCAAATGTGGGTTGGCTCCATGCTGGTACACATGGTAACAGTAGTGGGCTAACATATATTAACTATTAGGAGGATAGGGGTGTATGACATTATTAAAATTTAAAAAGGAATGGGACAGAATACAGTAGAGATATTTACAAACTCAGTATACTTATCACGCCTAGTCATGCCCATTATTATAAAAATGATGTGAAGCGGACTTTTGGGGCAGGGTGCATAGGGCGCACCGCTTAGAGAAGATAGTACAGATTCTACATAATAGTACAGATTCGCTAATCTACTAAAAAAAGGTACAAATTCCTAACAAAGGAAAAAAAGGGGTGCAACTTCCCTATTTTCTGGATCACATCATATTCATTTATGCTGGCTCCATGTTATGTACCCATGCCACCATGTGTCAAGGCTGCTGCGGTGCTAACCCATAATTTTCTAGCTAGTATATATCCAGTGAAGAAGGACCGAATATGACAATAAAAGCTATGGCATTTTCCAAGCTATGCCAACGTTTTAGGTCTCATAATCCTTTATGCAAAAGCCTGGATTTCATAATATGTTGTTCATTCTACATAATACTCCCTGCATCCCACAATGTAAGACGTTTTCGTAAGCTTATTTAGCTTGCAAAAACATTTACATTATGGGACGGAGGGAGTATGTTGTAAATGCAATGTAAAATTTGTAATTTGGAAGCATTGATAATTTGATCTGTGGATTTGAAAAACTTATCTGGCATCATATCTAGCAACTGGCCAACCCAATAACTCAATTTTGCCATAAAACATTATTGGGTTGATTTGGTGATTTGATAAGCTGATGCTACACCTGACGTCTTCTTCTTTTTTGTTGAGAATGATGCTTCATCCACCTTGGATGCCCATCCACTTGTTTACGTATGTGGTGAACTACGTACCGTTGGTGGCAGCGCCTCACGGAGTTCATGAAACGGTCAATACTTGTAAGTTCCAACCGTAAAAATATTGGCCGAAGTGCCACTTCTTGTACCTAAAATGTAAACGGATCGATACGTGTGTAGGCTATCTGTTTGGGCAGTCCCGCGTCTGTGGCCAGCCAGATCTAGCGAGGCAGCGACGAATCAGTCTCGTAGATATTAGGTAAGCACGACATGTAGTACGTATCTGGATGTTGTGTCCGTGTCCATGTAGTACTAGAGAGTTCATACGCGTACCTGAGTATGATTAGCAGTACTACACCGATTCGGTTAGCTAATAGGCTATCTGCATTATTCGCAAAAAGAAAAAGGCTATCTGCAGCATATATATGCGTGTAGCCCCAACCCTTGTACCACAATGAAAAGAGAAAAGCAATACAAAGCATTCAACAGATGCGACAGGCACCTGTGGCCATCAACCGACTGTGTTTCTTCTATCGCTAGTTTAAGCCGGGACGTTCCGTCGAGAGATCAGTCGATCCGATCCTAGGGCTAGTGAAATCCCAGGTTCACGTACATTACCTGCATGCAAAATCGATCGAGCTGCTAGCTTTGCTGCACGTACACGTTGTAGCTTCTGGTGAATTGATCTAGAGATCAAAAGCCAAACAGTAGAGGCTTAAATATGATCACCCATAGCCGTAACGCAACCACCAAACGAAGACAAGGATCC